AAATATTTTCTCTCATTGGTGGGAGTGGGGAATATCAGTACCAAGCGCGCGATGAGACCTAACTTTTGAATGGTACTGTCGCGAGTGTACTACCTTAATAAATTTAATTATTGCTAACGGGATTTTTGTTGTTTGGAGAGTGGAAACTTTGCACAATCGATTCGAGAAAATTTAGAAAACGAGGAGTCGTCTAAGGTAAAAAGTTAGACAGTCGCAATCTAATAAAGTCGTAAATTCAAAATTTTAATTTCTGACGATGCAAGTTTTTTTTTAAACCATAGACTTATGAAATAGACTGCGCGCGCCCCATTGAAATCGTCGGGAGAACATCTAGAATGAGAGGGAGCAACACTCCATCGCTCTTTCCTTGTTCAATTGTGCAGTTGGTGGAGAGAAGGAAAGAGGGATGACTCGCCGATCCGGGAAACGAGAGAAGCACTGAAGCGTAAAAGCAGCAAGCAACACAGTTCACACAGAAAGTAAAGCTTACTGCTTTCACGTTTCAGTGCTTCTCTCGTCTCCCAGGTCGGCGGGTCTCGCCTCTTTGCACGCTCCTTGCACGCCGCTTATTAACGTGTGACATCTCAAATCACTCGTCACCGTATGATTGCTCACAAAAGTCAATCCAACAAATAAGTCGGTGAGATAATGAAGCAAATGAAGATGAAGATGGCCATAGAAGCGCCCTAAAAACAGATAATGAGGAGGAGGATTGTATGGATAAGGGTAAACTGTTATAATATTTTACTGCGGTGTAAGAGAAGGAGGCTTAGAATTTAGAAAAATGGTGAGAGGGATAGGATAGAAGGTCCTGAGAACGCGTGATAGAAACATTTAATGATTAAAACTCAGCGTTTGAGTGTAAGAGACGACGAAAGCAAGTGGGAGTATTAGAGCGAAACAGACTAAAAACAAGATAACACAGGTGGAGTACAAAGTGCTGTTTTATATTCAGCTATCTAGAACTCAGGTAAAGGGGAGGGATGTGATCGAATTTGCGGATGCAGTAGGAAAAGCGGAGATATGAATTTTGGACACATTGAATATGATGCAATGTCTGCTGGCTAATTGCCGGGGTGTATACTACATCGGCATAATCGAACAAAATAACAAAGGATTGAGTAAAGCCCGGTCTACAATTGCGTAAACGTAGGCGCAGAGTTGTGGGAGTAATAGTAGCAGTAAATGTTGTACAATAATTTAATCAACAATCGAGTAAAGATATGTCGTAACTTGATTACAACAACCAATCAGAATGCAGTTTTATGTT